TTTTTTTTTGAAGTAGAAGTATAAAATAAAGAAATTTAGAATATTTTTTGAATTACTTTACGACGTTGCTTTGAATGTCGCTGTCGTAAACGAGCCATTATTTGGCTGAAATAATCAAAAATTAAAAATTTCTTATTATTCCTGCAAAGAATCTACTTGAAACCTGAAAATCGCTCATGGATGATTTTTTAGTAAGTTCTCCTTCGTTGCCCAAAGCAGCAGCAACAGTAGCAGCAGCAGTTTTCATGGGTTTTTCTGTCACATCGACATTCAAACCATACCGAAATGACTTCGGGATATCCTGGGTGCTTATTGCTAAGTGTGCATCGGCTAACGTCTCTGCTTTCAGCAGCAACGCGTCGATTATGGCACTTTTTCGATTTTCCATGTCCCTAAAATGATCAATCTGTACGTAAAAATTAATTGAGGAAGGCAGAAAAGCTAGCAGCCATATTGATGGCGAGAAATAGTGGGAAAAAAGAGCGGATTTTCAAAATATTGAAGTCTCATCTGTCAAAAAATCTGTAAAATACGGAACTCCTTCAGATTTCCAGAACAATATCGAAGGTTTTCCATCGAAGGCTGAATCTACAGGCGAGAATCTCAATCTACTTTTTCATCGAAGTAATTTTAAAATCATGACTTGGACATTTTACGAAAGCTGTATATACCAGGAATATAAAGGCAAGCCATTTATCAGTTCACGACTTCCTTAAAAATTTAATATGAATGGAAATTCCCTTTCTTTAACACGTAAAACCCAGCTTGGAAGCCTCTTATACATAAAAAATTTTCAAAACACGCATTTCTAGAAGGCTTATTCTAAAGAATAAGTTATAAATAAACAGCTTTTTTTAGCTGCATTTCTTTTTAGTTATATTTTTATCTACATCCTGCCTGTATTAGGCATCCCTCTTTTTAATGTAACGCGTTATCGAATAACACCCAATACATATAAAAAAGAAAGTAGGGAGGTCACCGATGCTGATCCGATCCGCTAACTCGATTATATGGAGTATTGTGGATAAGGCGAGCTCAGGATAGAACTCGGTGTCGTAGTTTTCGGCTCAGTTCCTGGAGACTAACAGTGCCTCAGTAATGGGAATGCCATATCAAGTATTCTTCTTTCATCAATTATTCTTTCAAATTTTTCTTACCTGTTGCTCTTCCTTTTACTATTATTCTAAAAATAAAATTTTTAAAATTTTCTTGGCCACATCTGTCAAAAGTGGAATTCTATAACAGTACGCAGCTGTTGCACAGTGCAAAAGCATGGCAATCCAGAAAACGCTTTTTGTAACGTCAATCTACGAAAATTTACTACACAAAAACGAACTACATTATTTCAAACGTATTAAAGACTGTGAATAGCGCAATTAACAAAACACTATGTATTGTTGTAGAACTCATGTCACCTGTCACATAATGATCTATTGCTTTCTGTTAGAAACTGGGTAAGGATCTCTTGCATCACTATGATACAACATCTCTGGTCCCTGCTTCAATCTTTGGACACCTTACCCCGTTACAGTTATGCAATCTTTGTGCTTCCTGACCAGCGGGGTATAAAAGCATTCCTTCCCATTTCCGGCATTCAAAGTCGCTGGTGCTTCACAACACCCCGCTCTGGAGAGCTTCGGCTTCCCAGAATCTTGCCACCTTTTTATTTGTTACTCTCTTCTCGCATTTCAAGCACTTTGCATAACTATAGCCTTTTGTATATAAATATATAGCTATCGCTAAGTGTTGGCTAAAATACACACTCCGCACACACGCGCACACACACACATACACACACACACACATAAGCAGGAAATGCACACAAGTCCAACCCACAAACTTTTAAGGTCGCGATACATCTTACTATAATTCTAGAAGTGTTACACTTTTAAGCCTAACATCTTAAAAAAAAAAAACAAGAGTTCCTGCCCCTGGCCTAGTTTTCAAAAAATATGACTAAAATTTTCTTTTTTTTCCTGAAATTAGACCTTATTAACAATCTTATCCACCAAGTTCTGAAGGCGCGACGGCAAAAAACTCAAAATATATCTGTAATACGGCCATTACCAGCACCATAAAATACCTCATGCCTTTCAAGATTAAGAATTAAACGGAGAAAATGACTTACGTTTTAATGGCAACATCATTCTCGTTGCTTTCGTGTTTGCAGCCTAAATATTTCATTACCTCATCCGGCTTGGCCACTTTCAGGATTTCTTCAGCCAGGTCCAATATACTCTTCTGATTTTGCCGCTTTTTCTGCAAAAAGACCGTTGATAAGCGCTTCCTGTGATCATTATTATTTTCAGATCTTTTGAGTCGTGGTATGATGCCTCTAAACATGTCTTGCACCAAAAAAAAAAAAATAAAAAAATATACAGACTACACGCACACATATCTTCTTGCACAGGACACATAAACTGATCCCTTATCTCCTTCTC